ATGCCCAACGATTGATACAAAAGCGCAACGATACCAGTGTGGAAGAACAAGGGGGATATAACAGACTGCTCTACATACAATACCGCTCATAATTTGTCGAAAAAGTCGCCGGACTGCGGCGGAGTGCGCTAGAGTGCGTCGGAGTGTGGCGGAGTGCGGCGCACTCCGGCGACTTTTTTGACGAATTATGATCGGTATTGTATCAATGCCTTGGAAAAGTCTTCACGAGCTGCTTAATTGCTCTTACTGTAATGGAGTATCGACATTTTCTTAGAGGCACGTCCACTCAAAATGGGGTTCACGAGATTCGATGGCATACTAATGTGGCCCCCACACTAGGCCAACCCCCAAGTTTCCCCGCAAAAGAATGCTTCCGGAGCGAGAAATCCGCTCCGGAAAGTAGTAATTCAGAGCTGGTCACTCCGCCCAGCTGGTCACTCAACCCATTTTGCAGATTTGGCGGGCTGCGGCGCTGATATGATAAGCCGGGCGTATAGCAGCGCCGCAGCCCTGCGACTTGCACTTGCACCGTCCGCCAGGTTCTCCAAAACGGGGAGTTTTGGGGGTTTCGTGATTTTTTGACTCTATATTGCTGATCAGGGCCTTCAGAAGGTCTGTAAGCGACCAATCATGGAGGTCGAGAATTTGGGCGGACGGTGCCTTTAAGCTCAATTCCAAAGGTGCGAAGTTTTCAATGAAATCGGCACGCCATCAGCCTTTCCCTGAATTCACAAAAGATAATTGACCGCAGAAGCTATTTAGGAAGTAGACACAGTTTTCTGAACATGCAATCGGAAATAAAATATAAACGTTACGTTTGAACATACAAAAAGAACTTATAAACTTCCATAGAATGTGTTAAGATGGATAGGGGACTATATGTCGCCGAAATTGGGAGATCTCGCGGGACATCTGCGGCAAATACACCTTCTAATACATGCATAGGCTGAGTATCTGCTGCATTGTCCGCGCAGGACCCTCCCACTTTCGCCGACATATAGTTCTCTACCCTGTTAAGATATTTAAAAAGTTAAAAACCCTTTGATCGCAGTGAGCTCTCTCAACTCATGTGTCTATCTGTTTTTAATGTTATCGACTGTATCTGAATGAAAGAAATAAAAAAAGAGAGTTGACTCTCTCATCTTTGAAAATCCGTTTAGAACAAAATTTCCAATCCACTCAAAATCATACGTTTTTTCTTCGGATAAATCTAGAAGTTCTGCTCACGGTTATATATGACACTTAAGCATTATCTGACTTGGAAGTCCTACTGTGGGACAAAGAAACTCAGATTTACTGTAGACTCTGGCTCCCGTAAATACAAACTTCTAAAGAACTGAATTAACCTGTGCTGAAGTGCTCTCAGCCAATTTCTATACTGTTTTGTGCCTGAGGAGCTCGTCGTTTTGACGTGCTAATGATAGATAAGCCTGTAACATTCTCCTCCTTCCCTTGAAATTAGGCGAATTTAGGATGCCATGGTTGTCGCAGTAGCTTTCAAATTAATTTCGCGTAAAATGAAGATAGTATTCCACTTGATTTACAGCTGGTATGTTTTTAAATGAGAGATATTATGAATAGAACACTTTTCTACTAGAGATAGTTTAAAAACCTGGCCGTGTTCGTTGATCTCCTCTTTATGATGTGCTTCGTAGTTCAGCACCCCAACAGTACGAATCTTACCGCGCACTGGAATTTAACGATGTGAATTTGTATAATTAAAGTGTATGTCAGTGGTGGAACGAGTCCCACCTCCTTAAGAATGAAGAATAGTCAAAAGTTATCTACAAAAAATAAATTCCAAAGTGACTTGTTTACGGTAAATAATTAAGATCATTTCTGAAAAATTCCGCAAATTCAAACTAGATTTGCAAAAGAAATTTTGGAAACGTAACTAACGCCACATCCTTTTTCCGGAAATCCCGGGTTTATAAATCCAAATAAGACCAGGGAAGCACCCCAGAGTTTTCTCTGAAGGGCTTGACTAACACCAAGGCTTGAAACAAAGCATTATTACTCAAAACTTATGATGAAATCTTCCCTATATTGAATTTACAAAAGAATCATTTCTGTCGGAGTTTTCCAGCATACTTACTTAGATACTCAGATGGCCCGTCCTCACGCAACGTGCGGGCCCCAGTACAGAAGTTTCCATTGATCCCTGTCCCTCGCTTCGAACATCCACGATCTTCTTGGTCGTCGTCGGTGGCTGTGTTCACGAGTTCGAGGGGCGAAAATCGTATCCAGCTGATTTCTCAGCTGGTCCATCCGTTCCACGAACACGTCTGCCCATCTCGTCGGTGGTCTTCCTCGAGGACGTTTGGCTTCGCGAGGAATCCACTCAGATGTTCTTAGTGTCCATCTATCGTCTGTTCTTCTCATAATGTGACTGGCCCATCGGTGTTTCGCTTTCGCAACGTATTCCGCTGAGTCACGAAGACGGGACATTCTTCTCATATCCGTGGTGCGAAGTCCGATTAGATGTTGCTTGTGTCAGGTCATCTTCAGAAGACTGCGCTCCAGCGCTCTGCGGGTGATCCTCAAAGCTTTCAACATGGCTACGGTGTCGGCCCAAGTCTCAGCTGCGTAGCAGAGCGCTGGGAGAACGGCTGAGTCGAACAGGTGGGCACGAAGCTCCGGGTCCGTCAGTTGCTTCTCAGACAATCGCTGGGGGCAGGCGGGCACCGGAAAAATAGATTGCTGATTTCTCGCACCCCGCTCGCGGATTTTTTGGAAAGCAATCAGGACTTTTCGGAACACCGCTTGCTGAGTCAGCGGATTTTTGAGAGACCGCCTGTGGAATTTTTTTTGCTCTTATCTTTTGCAGATATATTGCTGAATCTTCGAGAAATCGAGAACTCAACAAGCGGTCTTCCGAAAAGTCCTGATTGCTTTCCAAAAAATCCGCGAGCGGGGTGCGAGAGATCAGCAATCTATTTTTCCGGTGCCCGCCTGCCCCCGGCGATTGTCTGAGTTGGTGGCTTTCTCCAGAGGCCCGAAGGCGGCCCAGGCTGCTCTTTTTCTCCTGTTAAGTTCTTCCCTCAAGTCGTTTTCCATGTTCTTCGAACGTCCGAGATACACGTAAGAAGGCGTCTCCATAATAGGAGTGCCTTTCAATTCCATTTCTGCATCTTCGCAAAGGGAGTTCTTCATGAACTGAGTCTTCTTCCGACTTATTCGCAATCCGATCTTCCTCCCTACTTCGTTTAGTTCCTTCAGCATCGTCTCTGCTTCAGTGATACTGCTCGAGAAGAGGACGATGACATCCGCAAAACGAAGGTTGGATAGGAATCTCCCCAACTCGTATGCCTCTCTCTTCCCAGTCCAGTGACTTCATCACCCACTGCAAGGCCGCAGTGAACAGCTTCGGCGAAATAGTGTCGCCTTGTCGAACCCCTTTCCCAATTGGAATGGTCAGGGGGCGATGGAATAGCTGCATCGTTGTTGTACAGTCCTTATAGCAGTCGGCTAGTGTCCTCACGTAAGCTGGGTCCACCCCTTGATCGACTAGCACAGACAGGATGGCGTTGGCTTCGACGCTGTCAAAGGCTTTCTCGTAGTCAACAAAAGTTAGGACGAGAGGCAGTAGGTACTTTCGGCGGACTTCCATGACCCTCGAAACCGTCTGGATGTGGTACATGCAGCTGAATCCTTTGCGAAATCCAGCTTGTTTTTGGGGTTGGGCTTTATCCAGTGTTCCAGATATGCGTGCGAGGGTAATCTTCGTGAAAAACTTGTGCAGCACAACAGGCATATTGGACGGTAATTTCGAAGATCCTCCCGTTCACTATTCTTGAAGAGAAGGACGGTTCTTGACGTTCTCCACTGGTCGGGAATCCTCTCCTTCTGAAGGTAAGATGTCAGGTGCGACGCGAGAATTTCGTATAGACGTTGTCCTCCGGCTCGCAGAAATTCGACGGAAAGATGGTCTGGTCCTGGAGCCGTGGATGTCTTCATGGTCTGAATCGCCATGCGCACTTCAGCAGGTAGAATTCGTGGTGGTAGTACTTCTTTAGCGCTAACAACGGGCATCGGCACGGGTGTTGATGAGCGGAAGAGGTTGGTGTAAAAGTTCTTCGCGATCTCAGACAATTGCATCGGGAAGTTCGCGGATGCTTACTCGGCCACCAATCATCCATGCCGCGAGCTGCCCGGTATAAACCGATATTGGACCCGATAAGTGACCGCGGCGCATCCTGTAAGCGCCCGATAGTTGACCCGATTAGCATGCTTGTGAGGCCTAGAAAGAGTGAAGGAATTTTGGGCTGTCTTTCATGGCAACGACTGAGTACAAATTGAGCAACTTGTTAGCTCATCTGTCGACATCATCTACCGTCGTCGATAATACTCAACCGATTGCTGATGTTTCGTTAGCATATAAACTCAACTGTCACACAACCCACGAGAAGCGATTACCAGCTCCACAAACACCTAAGGTAGCCCCATCACTGCGACGTACCCCACGCGGGTTGCGCCTAAGCTACAGCGTGTAAGAAGTGCGGCCTTTGATGAGGCCCGCGGCACGCCGAGTAAGGTGATTGGGCCGCGACTCTCCCGATAAGCTCTTTCCAATTTTAAGTTTGGCCGCGGCGTTCCCGGTAAAATATATATGGGCCGCGACGTGCGCGGCTGAAATTTTAAGGGCCGTGACGCGCCATGTAGCACGCTTTGAGGCCGCGAACTTTCCGATGCAATTGTCTGAGATAGATTCCATTTTGTATCGGGAAGAAGTTGGAGTCCCGTCTTCGTTCAATAATGCAGCCAGCGGTACGTGATATCACAGAGGTCCCTTCGGCATTTCGGCAACTTTTCCAGCATAATGCTTTAGCACATAATCCTACGTCACAAAAGCAAGGCTGCAAGAATTATGCTAGTTCAAATAGAACTGTACGCTGTCATGTTTGAAAAGAGCCACACGGACTGGGCAGATTTTGGCGAGAGATTTCCGGACGTTGATGAAAAATCACAAAGTGTCCGGAAACTTCTCAATTTTTCTAGAATTAAGTAGGTATCCTTCGATGTATGGCATTGTTGGGACTATCCAGTTCCGTTTCTTTCGTCTTTGGAAAATAAATAAGCAGCATATCCATGTAGCTGAAAATTGGGTTGTATTTTATTAGATAAATAGGTAAAGTCTATTACACTTACTCAGTGCGAAGATTATTGAGAAAGTCCTTGATTTTGTCATCTGATTCTACAAAGAAGTTATCACTTCCACTCGGATACAGCTTTGTTGCTATAAAGACATTTTTCCGTCGAAGATTATGGTGTGAAGGGCCATCTGCAAGAGTTGTAAAAAGTAAAATTATCTATGAAGATATAGATATTCTTACTGTACCTCAAGAGCCCGTCCAAGCTCGGCCTCATTAAATTAGAACCTGGCCGTAACAAGCGATAGCCAACAGCTAAGGCGGCATCAACGGATGGCAGCATCTTGAAAGTTCTTGCATTTATGTTGTCAGATGAATTTGACTCCTTGGAGAAATTGTTCGTAGGTCAACTAATCTGCTGATTTGTAAGGCGACATTTCCAAGGTATCTCTATAATAGTTCAAAACAAAGTACTTCCTAGAATTTTTCCGAATTTATGGGAAACCTCATAAATGCTTTTTCAAGCCCAGTTCTACAATTATCCATAGATCTATTCTTTCAAGCAGCTGTATTCTAGGGTAGTATGCATCAATCTCCCGCTCGGCAGGGTCATCACCCGACCGGGCATGGGCGCACGCACCCGCGATGCATCATTGGGATTTTACTCGGGCAAGAGCCCGGTTTGCTTAGTTTGGGATCAATTGCAAGCGTGCTGACGCACACGCAGTACCCCTCCTGGCGCAGTCTAGGAGTGACGCCGTTCACCCGTTTCTGTGCATCTTTTCGGCCTACGGCTGATTTCCCTCACGTTTCTTTCTGCACGTCTCTCATACAGTCGAATCATTCTGTATGATCATGTGTAACATTGCACACACCGTCCACCTTGGTGTTCCCATCCCGCATTCTTGAAGGAGGCAACTCTTCAGCAAGTGTTTTCAAAGTGTTTTCAATGTTTTCTCCTTTTTAGGTACTAAACCGGTCAGTCTTCAGCGTTTTGCGATTGCAAATCTTTGATGAGGATGCCAAAGATGGACAGTGTGTGCGGATGCACACATGACTGACCATATAAAATGATTCGACTGTACCATTCCTGTAAATTTGCCGGACAATGCGCTAGTGCTTTTTGTTGTCGCTTTGTTCAATAGTTTCTCGTTAATGATTTATAGATTTCAGCACAGCCGCGAGTTTATGAAACGGATCCTCTAGAAAATGATGTGAAAGTTGGGCATCAATATACCGGAGGTTTCGAGCTCTCTAAGTAAGCGTCAAAAAAGCAGGGTATATTTCTGAGCAGCAGCTGGAATTTTTCAAGAAGAAGGTGCTAGATTGAGCATAAATGCTTGTTTGCGTTCCATACTTCTAGTTCTGGAAGCTGAATTGCAGAACATTTGATTGACAGTGACCAGCTCCCTTATCCGTCATCAATCAGTGAGACTAAAAATTAGGACAATTATATTGTAAGATAGGTGAGTGTTTCTCTACCCACCAATTTGATTTTTCTTGTTTTAGTTTTTCCGCTAAGGATGCTGAGTTCTACCTTTTTCGAAAGTTCTGCTATTCTCACTTTAGCTTTCTTTGTTGATTTGCGGACTAGGTTATGTGGCTATGGCATTGACCTACATAGTCGATTGACTTGTTGGTCCTCCTTCGAAAAGAGTTTCGCAAACGCGAAATTTTGCATATACGCAGTTAGAGCAAGGCTGTCTCCATCAAAATCGTTCTCCTTGCCTGCGCGTGTGACGACGTGCAAACAGGCAGTTTTCGTTCGAAAACAGCTTCAAAATAATCAGAGGTGGAGATAAACCAGTTTGATTGATATTGGGACTGCTTCGAAGTTGACCTTCAACTTCAAACTTCAACTCCCTAACGAAACAGTAAAAAACGACCTTTACGGGAGATATGTTTACGACGCCCCCCCCCACCCACAATGTGATGAACTTGTTTCTAAAAAATTCGCGAACCATTGCGGTAAGCACAAGCACTTTCCTAAGAAATCATAAGGTCTATCTACTCTACATGTTTGTGCGGATGCGATAGGCTTAAAGGCAGTGTCCGGGCAAAAACTCGATTTTGAGATTTTTTGCTTACCCGGGTCTATTCGCTACGCTGAATCCGAAAATCCACATTGGAAAGCGCGAAAACGGCGAAAAAGGGCTCTAACACAGGAGGGAAACCAGCAGGTGGGCGGGGCTTTCCCCAGTGCTATTTCACGCTCCAAGCTCCCGGAGCGATTTTCTCGATTCCGCTAGCCCTCCTAACATCGCTACCGGTCAAGTGCCTATGATCGGCTTGAAACCGGAAGCGAGAAGGTCGCTCCGGAAGCCGGGAACGTCAATTCGCAGTGGGGAGGACCCCGCCCACCTGCTCATTTCCCTCCTGTGTTAGAGCCGTTTTTCGCCATTTTCGCGCTCTACAATGTGCATTTTCGGATTCAGCGTAGCGAATAGGCCCAAGTGAGCACAAAATCTCGAAATCGAGTTTTTGCCCGGACACTGCCTTTAACATCTGGAAAAATGTATTCATCATACAGCCAGCGTGTTTACATCAGGGTTCTGCCACACTAGACGTAAGCGAAACATAAGGATCGAAGGATTTCTTATGCATCATTGATCAGACCAAAGAAAAAAGATATCAGCGTTCACCTTGTCAATGACTGTTGTGATATTCATGTTTTCTTCCTGGCTGAAACATTTGTATAGCAACTTCCATAGCTTCATAACTTGCATTTAGTACGGCAGCCTGCTTACCCGTAACTTTGTTGGTTTGGAAGAAAACTAAGCGAGATAATCAAACCAACGAAAAGGTTAAAAAGCAGAGAAAGTAAACACGTTAGCTACAGGGGTTGCACCGGCCAGTATGGGCTGTTGTTGTCATCTAGAACTTCTAGATTTATCTGAAGAAAAGTATGATTTTGAGTGGCTGGAGAAATGTTCCTAACGGATTTTCAAGACCGAGAAAGTCAACTCTCTTTTTACCCAAAGCGAAAATGGCGAAGCAAATAGAGTACACTTAGAAGGCCACTGATGTTACAATGAGTGAATTCTTCATAAAATGAGCAATATAATTTTTTTGATACGTCAAATTTGAAGGAAAGGACTTAACTTGACTTTCTTCTTCCTTCTTCAAAATAAAAAAAAGCCAAAGCTGACTTAGCTTGGCTTTGTCTTTCTTGCCTCAAGATAAGAAGGTCGAAACTACTCTGTAGTAAAAAGAGCAAAGGCAAGATTTACAAATAACAACAATCTTCCTTTTCCCAACCTTTAAAGCTTGCTGACTTGCTCTAGTTGAGTTATTAACGCGGAATTTTGTTGATTTTTTCTCGGAGCATTGGTCTCTCCCCGGAAATCTTTTGGGCAAGGTTTTTTTTTCTGCTACTCTACTGACCAAGCCCGCTTTGCTTACTTTGGTATTTCGAGAGCACTTTGCTAGCGTACGAAGGATCACCACCTCCACAACTTGCAGCAACCTATTGATCTTCTCGATTACAATGTTCCATTACAACACTTCTTATTAATCAAGTATTCTCGAGTAACTGACTCTTCCTATTAGCCTCATGCGGTGGAGTATATCCACCATGCAATCCTGAGTTAGATAGTTTATCTCAAAGACGTTTTGCTAGCAGTAATGGGGGCATGGGTACCATCTCCATGATCACATCTTTATGACAATTGTAGTCCAGAGCAGTCACATGCAAGCTCTATCAAACATACTTCTTAACTAATTTAAAGGTATGGACCCAACGGCACGGTGGACCTTGACTGGGGTTGTTCGATTTACTGTGTGTGTATTTTTTTTCTCTTGTTCTTTTTGTAAGGAACGCCTTAGAGCGTATGAATAAATAAAATAAATAAATAAATAAATAATCAAATAACGGAAAAGCAAACGAAACTGAACAAGAAAGCGCAGCTAAACCATCCCTCCATTTTTCAGGATTACAGGTGAGTCTAATCATAAAAAAGAACAGTAACAAATACAATGGTCTACGGAAATGCAAGTTGGCATAGCAATACCCTGGTAACATAGAACCATGAACTCGAGGAGAGCACAATGGCAGCGAAGATGCCATTGTGCTCTTCTCGAGCATCCGTACAAAAAACTCATTCCAGTCGCATCATTCTCCTTTACAAAAAAATTAGACTTTTCCTGCAGGGTGTATCACTCAGAGTGCATAGCTTAGTAACCTTTACACCTTCCCTCATTTTGGAGATCAGTTTTTGCAGAAAAAAAAGCAAGCGGATGAGCGAAAGATTTGGGTAGAATAAGTATACCTTGAGAATGTCATTGTCGAAATCATGCAAGCAATCTTGATATACACTGACAATTTTGAGCATACACAGCTACAAACTCAATGGAAGGCAACACAGCATAAGGGCACGTATAATAAGGCAGAAGTTATCATGAAAACAAGAAAGTGCGCATACATTAAAGTGTTTAATGACGTACAAAAGCGCGTTTTTCGTTTCGTTCCTTCTCCTACAAAACAAAAAAAGTAAGCCGTCCCCAGAGCTTATCAGCAAGAAGCAAACCTTCGATAGAGCCATGTACTCTAGTAACCTTCACTTTGAGCGTCATGATAGAACACAACCTTTATTTGGAGAAAAGAACAGAAGTGGTACGGGGCGAAGCCAGGATTATATGAAATAACTATATGAGAGTGAATATGCATGAGGCAAATATAGTAGTTGATGTTTGAAAAAAAAGCTCAGAAAACAAAAAGATTGCGAGTTTGTAGCTTTTTCTGCTGAAAAGAAGGTTACATCCGAAAACCTACTCAAAACTGAGACTATTCTCGATTTACCTTCTTATAGACTACTGTAATGTCAGAAGTTCATGAAGCTGTTAGAGTTCAATAAAAACAGGAAACTGCGCTTAGTTCTTGCGTAGATAGTCGTCATTTAAATGGATTTATTTCGTTATGAAGTGATTTTGAACACCCGCGACGTTTTCAGAGCTCCTGGTCGATGAGGATGAGGATCACAACGATATATAATGCTGCAGGGTTTTGTTAATACCCCGCCGAGATCTACGGGCAAAAACCAAATGTCCTCGGCTCTGGTCCGTCTCCGCTGCTCGTCTGCGTCTCCGCGCGTTGTGCGCTACCTCGCTACCCCAAACGCTTAGCGCAGGGCATTTGGCTCTGGGCCCTTTTTTCGTTTTTTTAATTCAATTCTAGCAAACTGTATTTCATATTGAAGCTCCTGATCTCGACTTTCACGCTGATGACGTCGCAGAACTCCATTATCTGGTATGAACGAGAAATCTGGCAAAAGCCGTGGTTTCGAAACTTTCTTATTTTTTCTTCATTTCAGCTCTTTCCAAGCGGGTTTTTGTGCATTCAGAAAA